GCCACTTTAACAACGTGCTATGTTTCTCCGTAAGCCTCGGTGGTGACCTACTCGCAGCTGAAGAACATGCTGTCAAACGGGAGCATTCAGCTTTTTGACGTGAGATCTCCTGAAGAATACCAGGCGGGACACATTTCACAGGCTGTCAACATCCCACGTAAGCGATGACACACGTGCAGTCTTGGTCCTGAGCCGCTGTGTATTTGTAATATTTAATGTGTGTGTGTACGTATCAGTGGGCAGCCTGGAGGAGTCCCTGCGTCTTTCCCCCGAGCGCTTTCAGCAGAAGTTTGAAGTGAAGGCGCCTGTGAAGGACGACGACGACATCGTGTTTCAATGCGCAAAGGGCAACAGGAGCTTAAAAGCGCTGGACATCGCCCACCGGCTGGGATTTAGCAGGTAAACAGCCGCCAATGCACACACGAGGCAGCTAAAGGTCCAGCTATCGCCTGACCCACAGCTATGAGTGGTAGATTTCATGTGCAGATAATTAATTATTAGTCAGTCCTGCTGCTGCGGCGGGAGACAAAGTCCTCAGAGGCTGCTTTGGCCTCTTGCTTACTGCATGACCTTTTAGTGAAAAAAACCCAACAAACAGCAGTTCTTCTCTCTCTGCTTCCTGTTCTCAGGGCAAGACATTACAAAGGAGGCTACAGCGAGTGGGCCGAGAAAGAAGGAAAATGAATCCAGGCTGAAATCTGCGCTGCGGTTTCTTTGTCTTTATGAACACACGGCTGATGCGACGCTACACAATATACATAAAAGATGTTACACTTGAGCAACCTCACTGGTACGGTGTCATGTCATATCGACTGTTCTAAGTTGTTCCATCCATCCGTCAACTAGCTGCACCTGTTTTATCCTGTAGAAGGTCATTCACATTCACACCTACGGTCAATTCTGAATCTCCAGTTAACCTGCAATGCATGTCATTGGACTGTGGGAGGAGGCTGAAGTACAAGATCTGTAAGTTCTGACTTTAATTAACATTTCCTGTTACTTTCTAAGTTACACACTGGGTTCATATCAACTGTTGCTTCTGGGTAAATGCCACAAGTTTAAAAATGATTCTGCATAAAGACATAGATTGTAGTACACACTGGTTAATGTGAAAGCAATTTATTTTAAATAAAATCAATTAAGAAAACATCTTCGTATAGACTGTTGTGTTTACAGTTCTCATAGCTACAGTGTATAGTGTCTTAGCTGGTTGCTTTGTAGGTAGCGCAAAAAACATCCATCCATNTATTTGTCGCATTCCTAATGAAAAGATCAACTGTTCCACAGACTAGCAGCAGCCACTGTGAAGCTGGATCGCCTCGTTTTTGTGTCTGGATTTCATAACATCCAAAAGCATCCCCAGCACTCTAAACTGCAAAAGTTCTGCTAAATAATTAAAGTGGCACCAACCTGTTCAGAACCTGAAGAGCCCTAAAACCCTCAAATCTATTCTGAAACAGACAGGAAGCCAGTGGAGGGAGGCCGGTACTGGTGTTATGTAATCATTCTTTCTTCTTCTATTTAAAAAAAATGAAGAGATGCTGATGGTCAGGTGAGACAGGCCTCATATTGACTAAAAGCCGTAATTGAAAAAGCTGGTTTTGGCTCAACAGGGATAATATTAAATGAGAAGTTGATCTACAGGAGAATAAATGTTTAAGTGTCTGAGAGCCTCACTGCATTGTCACTGGGTGAATACATTTTGTGCTTCCTTTTACATAAATGAAGACACCTTCAGCATAAGTGGGTTCAGAAAAGGCACAAAGTGGTGCGTAAAAAGTTACCAGAACGCAGGAAGTGACGTGTGTGATGCCCAAAACTTCTCCTGTTCCATAGTAACCCGCGCCATGTCTGGAGCTATGACTTCTCCAACCTGAGGGTGGCGACAAATGCAGGATTCATTTGGGGGTAATATTCCTGAAGAAGAAGCCGAGAAGACGTCTGCGGTAGTGCGCAACACAACAGGAGGTCATGTTTCCAGCTCAAGGCGCGTCAGTCTTCATCATGCTGTCCTGCGCACTGGCACGAACTTTCTGTCAGGTTGTAACCGAAACCAACAGCAGAGCTTACCCGACTTTTGGTTCGGTTTTTCGGGCTTTTACTACCTCAAGTCCCAAATGCGGAGCAGCATCCGAAAATGGTAATAAAAAAACAACAACAATGAAACATCCACATGTATGTATTTCCTGGTGGTGAGCCAGTGCCAGGGGAGGCCTGCGGGGTGATATCTCATCATAATGAATTTATAACAGTCATAATATTCTGATAACACTGAGGAAATGTTTGAAAGTGCTCCTGGAGTGCTCGTAAAAACACGATCTGTAGCTGAAGTCGTTCATGGTGATGTGTGAAGCTGCTGCCAGCGTTTTCTCATTCATGTGATTGTTGGGAAACATGTGAGAGTTTGGTTGACTCTGGCATTTTTGTTTGAAATGGAAAACAATAGTCTGTCAGTGGCTTCACTGTGTTCAGGAAAAGCTTCAGTTTGCCCCCAAAGCAGGAATCCAGCATTTCCCAGCAGCAGTGGATGAGTTAAAAGCAATGCATGGTGAGTTCAAGTGTTTGTTCAGACACACAGCGTCCCACAGTGGAACAAGTTCTCCTGTAGACTTAGAATACTGGTAGCTGTGATCAGTATTTTACTATATGTTTAAAGTGTTACCAGTTTATTATGTCATTTTTATGTTTTTATTGTTATTGCAGCAGTTTATTGGGCTACTGTCAAACTGATTGCTCTGGTTTATGGATGGGAAGTTGACTACTGGCAGCAGTGGTGGCCAGAATAAGTGTCATTTACTTATTAATGTCAGAACTCTACAGCAGAGGCCTGAACTATAACTTAAATGAGTACTTATTTCATTTCACAAGCAAAAATGCCAAATATTCTCAGTTTTTTAAATTTAATCTAAATATCTTTTGGACTTTGTGTTGGATGAGGATAATTTTGGATTTTTGAAAGCCATTGTTACTGTTTACAGGTATTTTATTGACCAAGAATTTAATTTGTTAAGGGAATCATTGGCAGATTAATCAATAAAATGAACTCATTGTTAGTTGCATCCCCATCCTGGTGTCTGTCCTACAAATATCTGTGACTCCTGACTCTCTGTGAGGATTTATTTAACTAGTGATCTGGGACTTTACTGTTTACACTCTGAAGTAAATGAGGAACTTTATATTAGAACTTCAACAGTTTGTAATCTTACCAGTCAAGTTAGCAATCATAAAAAAACACATGTTCCAAGTGTTTCCAGTGCTGTGAATCTTAGGATTTAACACTGTGTCTAGACTTTACAATAACATCTAAATGTATTGACATAGTGTTGCCGCTGTAATCAACATTAACTGTAACTGCCTGTAAATTGCATCTCCTTCTAAAATGTGTGACGAAAACCATAAAAAACTAAATCTTTATGATCAAAAATTGACATGTGCCAACTCTTTTTAACATTTAAAAAAGCTAGAATACAGGATAAAGGATAAGAAAAGTTTTTATGGATTGGGAACTTTTATTTAAAAGCAGCAATAGATGGGTTAAGTATATTTTCTAAACTAAGAAAAAGTAATTTAACTTAATTTGCATGCTAAATTTCCTTTTTTTTTTAGTGCTTCAGTGTAAAGTTGCAGATATTCTTCCTGCTTAAATCAGG